CAGGGGTTGAGCAGTGAGCACCCCCCGGCACATTGGAAAGTTGGCGCCTGTAGCTCCAGCCCCGGTGTCGGTGCCTGTACAAGGAGCTGCATGTTAACCCCTGAAGAGCCACATGCGGCTCCGGAGCTCCAGGTTAGCTGCCCCTGCCTCAGGGGGTCGCGAGGGTAAGTGGAGGGTCACCCCCAAGCCCCGCTTCGCCGGTAGCATCTCTAATGGTGTTAAATATTCAAACCATAGTTGTAGTGTGTAAGGGGGGATCGCACTCGGAGCCTGGCTGTGAAAGGGGTCGGTCACCAGGACAAACGTTTGAGAACCGCTGGCAGGTGTTTTAATGTGCATTAATCTGACTAACCACCAGGCCAGCTGGGGCCAGGGTGGGGGTCGCATTCCCCAGATGGGGCTGTATCCTGGGGCGTAGAGGCTCGGGGAAGGACCTGGGGGCTGTGGGGAAAGCAGCTGAACACGGGCGCCTCTAACAGCACTGCTCTGGCTCAGCCAGCCGGGCCGGATGCAGGGGCTCCGGGGGGAACCCAGCCCTGGACTCTGTGGGAGGCCGGACAAGCTGGGCTGGATGCAGGGGCCCCGGGGGGAGCCCGGCCCTGGGCTCTGAGGGAGGCTGGACAGGCTGGGCTGGATGCAGGGGCCACAGGGGGAGCCTGGCCCTGGGCTCTGCGGGACGCTGGCCACGGGGAGAAGAATGGTCCCCGTGGCTTTGACCCCTGCCCCTCTCTGCTCTGCCCTCAGACCACCACGCTGATCGGGCTGCTGAAGACAGCCCGGCTGCTGCGGCTGGTGCGCGTAGCCCGTAAGCTGGACCGCTACTCGGAGTACGGGGCAGCTGTGCTCTTCCTGCTCATGTGCACCTTCGCCCTCATCGCCCACTGGCTGGCCTGCATCTGGTATGCCATCGGCAACATGGAGCAGCAGAGCATCGGCTGGCTGCACGCACTGGGCGACCAGATTGGCAAGCCCCTGAACCGCAGCGTCCCGCTGCAGGGGCCCAGCATCAAGGACAAGTACGTCACCGCGCTTTACTTCACCTTCAGCAGCCTGACCAGCGTGGGCTTCGGCAACGTCTCCCCCAACACCAACTCCGAGAAGATCTTCTCCATCTGCGTCATGCTCATCGGCTGTGAGTGGGGGCCGGGCGCTGCCTGCACCTGCCCTGCCTGCGCCCGCCCGCCCCCTGCCTGCGTCCGCCCGCTGCCCTGCCTGCCCGCTGCCTGCGCCCGCCCCCTTCCAGCCCGCCCCCTTCCAGCCCGCCCCCAGCCTGCGCCCGTCCTGCCTGCATCCGCCCCCTGCCTGTGCCTGCCCCCTGCCTGCCACCGCCCACTCCCTGCCTAACCCACACCTGCGTCTGCCTCTCGCCCGTCCCCTGCCTGCCCCATCCCACCCACCCCAGGGGACCATGCTGGGAGGCGTGGCGGGGAAGGGGGTTGTGTATGTGTGGGGTTGCGTGAGCACGTATGTGGGTGGTCGTGCACGTGTGTG